CCCCCGTGTCTTCCAGAATCAAAGGCATTGCTTTCTATGCTCTTTTCAGGGTATCCAGAAGGTGTGTGAGACTATTGTTGAGTGTTGGGATCATGATCCTGAGGCCCGGCTGACAGCACAGTGTGTAGCTGAGAGGTTCAATGATTTTGATTACCAAGATGGACTCTCGGGAAGAAGCAGCTCAGAAGAGAAGATCCCTGAAGAAGGCTCTGGCAACAGTGCCAAGTAACAGCTGGCAAAACAGAAGAATGCTCACTTTTAGGTTCTCTGTGTTCAGCCTTAGAATAAGAGGAACTTTTACCATTGGACCTACTTTCTATGACCCCGAAGAGCTGCCTTTTCCTCCATCCTGCAGCTCCAGAGAACAGGAATTTAACCATAATGAGCCATGTGCAGTGCCATGGCATAGTAGTTGCTTCCTTAAATGTGCCATAAGATAAATTACATTGGTGCTTCCTGAGAAAATAGGACTATATTACAGTGCCAATAACAGTTGCACTTTATCAAGGTCTGTATATAAAACTATGGAAGCTCAGTGCTAAATATAAATACACAAAGCTCTGACGAGAGTCTTCCAGAAAACTTCTAATAGATAAAAAATTGCAAATGTTTGCTAAGATACTGGCAGCAGTATTGTCTTATTCATGTCACTCAAACCATTAAAAATTATAGGTAACTACACTACAAATGTTATCAATTGATGCACCTTTTTTTTCAGACAAGGGGCAAAAAAAACCAAATGGTAACTAGAAGTATTTGGATATGTTTGAGCTATGTTAAAAAAAACAGCGGTGACATTATGCAATGATATTCAGTTGGTTCCTGAATGTTTAAAATTCAGAATTTATGAATTATTGGACCATTCACAGCAGGAGTTTTGGTTTGCTTTGTTTTTCTCTTCAGATGTAGAATTTGCAAAGGTTTTCTTTCTTTCTTTTTTGTTCTTTAATGTCAACGAAGAATTATTAATATCCCTCCCCTTCTTTCAGCCTGTACTTCATGTTCTCAGCCTTCATATGACTACAGGTTTCTCTTCCCCCAACTTCCCTCTGTAATTGGGCAGCGCCAATTATAACTGCAACAGATGTTTTGCATTTGCCATGGATTCTGGAAAAAGTAGATTCCTTCCTCTTTCCTCCATCCTTTTTTGGATCAATAACATCACGTCTAGTTTTTTAAACCCCTAAATTCATACTTGCTTTTGTGCCCAGAATGAATAGTAGATGATTCCTTTCTGAGTTTGTATTATGCTTTGGCAAAAATTTGCTCCGTACTCTGGACATGCATGGCTTTTGGTCCTTGTAACATGCCAACCCTGCCTGCCTGCAGTTAATGCTTAGAAATGCTATACATTCCTAAACTGATCCCCACAGGCAAGGCTGTTATTCTTTTAGTCTTCCAAAATATTTAGAATTGGAGCTGGCTTCATCAGGAATTTTTAATGACATGATTTGAATTGTTTGTGCTTTCTTGCAAGATATGCATTCTCCAACATAGTGCCCTTCAGATATATTGGATTGCAAACCTGTGATAGCAGTTGGAGTCCAACAGAACAGTGGGATGGGGATATTTCTGGTAATGGGCCATTTTTGAAAGTCAGCTACTATTTTGTAACAGAATGCATTCTTTCATTTTTCCTTTCATTAGAATTAGTCCATGCCAGCCAGAAACAATTCTTTTGGGGTGAAAGATATATTACAAGTGCATTTTCCCCTGTGTATCCAATAGGAAAGAAAAGATATATTCATATAGGAATTTTTAAAACTTTATGGACAAAAAATATTTATTTATTTTTAAAATCTGCATTTGTATTAAACATTTTATAAATATTTAAGCATTAAGTGGACAGAGGCTCAACAAAAAGAAACCAGATTTTAAAGTAACAATGTACTAAATTGGAGTTACCGTATTTATCGGCGTATAACACGCACTTTTTCCCCCTGAAAATAGGGGGCAAATGATGTATGCGTGTTATACGCCGATGTCCAGGGAGCGGAAGGGTACCTTACTAATAAAGTGGCTTTAGAAAAGTGTAATGTTGAGTAGTGATGGGATCCCATGACCTCTAGTGGCACTTATCAGAATAGCAGCACAAAAAACAGCTGCATAGAAAGTAAAAACGAGCTTTCTTTCAAACAGAATGGGAGGGTGTATTTGCTAAATTGCTAATTTTGTAGCCTACTTTAGACGTTACTGCATATTGCTATCATTTACCTCAGTAGTAAATTTACCATTTATGTCAGTAGTTCAGCTTGAAGGCCTTCAGTGCAACTCCCTAAAATTGTGGTTCTTCTAAAGTTGTCACCAAATAGTATTGTTTGAAAAGACAGAGTGAATGGGCTGTCAAATATGTTGAAGATTAATAATTTTACTTCATTTAAATATCAGCAAAATCAGTGTGCCCTAATTAAGGCAACTTTAAGGAATGTGGACTTCAGAATTTCCCAACCTATTCAAAAGTTTAGATCTGCCCCTCTTAAAATGAAGTTTCTCAGTGATTTGGTGCATTGATCTAAAAGAGGACTAGACAAAATTATGGGGAAAAGTCTATTAATGTAGAGTCATGGCTATATGTAATTTCAAGATTCACAATAATTTTAAAAACCATTTGCTGGTGAGTTATAGTGCACATAGGAGGCTGCTTTCTTTGATGATTTCTCTGAAGTAACCAATTCAGTCCTAAATAAGAAGCAGCATGGTAGGCTTTTATAGATAATTAGCCTACTGTAGAGGTCATCCACTTCTAGACCTGTCTACTTACGAGATTCAAGTAAGGTAAGTATTTAAATTGGCAGCATAGACATGCCTAGATCTTCCCACTGAAATGGGTGTGTGTTTGTTGTGCACTAGTAAAAGCCTGAGAGATCACTAAACTCCTGACAATCCTTTACCATTTTTGTATTAGTGTATTTAAAGAGATTTTTTTTAAAAAATTCCATGGAAGATTTTTTTAAAGTACAATATATATGAAAATAGAAATGTTTGCATATCTAGTCTCTTTATCAGATTTTTTTATAAGCACTTACAATATTTTTGTACAAATAAATATTGTACGCAATGCTTTTGTTTAAAGTCTTATTCATATGAAAATACCTCAGTGTGTTTCCAGGACAATGTAATTCAAGCAGCATGGTGCCTGCAGGTGCAGTAATGTTCTCATGAAAACCGTTTCTGATGCTTACCAAGCTCCCTGTCCTTATGACTCTACATGTTTTAGATTATTTTAATTAAGAAATAAGCAAATAGGCAGCATTCTATACAATACTAATTTTTAATATCAACTTCATCCCCAAGAAGGCTTCTGGGTATCAAATAGGTTTCAAAATACTCTTATATAATAAAAATGGATGATGGTTGTTTGTTTGGAAATGTTCTGGAAACACAGAAGAAAAGTCAAAAGTGATAGAAATTATACATATTGATATAGGGCAACTTATTTTAAGAATATAATAGGGAATATATTCAACAGTTGGCCAATTAGTATGTTTATTCATAACAGGTTAACCACACTCAGGTGTCAGCATTAATGGCTTTATATTTAATTGGAGAGCAGTAAAGAGTGAGATTCAGTTGGGATTCATCTTGGGACCAAAATTTTCATTGCTATTAATAACTTTAATAGCTATGAAAGTTATTCATATCTATTAATAACTATGAATAACAGACTAATTTGGACAGATTAGAAGACTGAACAAGATGCAAGATGTCCCTTAGTAGGGAGAAAAAAGACACAAGGACTGGAAATACTATACATGTGAAAGATATGAGTGTAGTCTACAGATTAACATTTTCTCCCTTTGAGTTAGTCTTGGTTCCCAGAAACAGTGGACAAATCTCTGCAGTTTTCTTGGTAAGATTTGGAAATGGTTTGCTATTCACTTTTTCCTAGGGCTGACAGTATCTGATACAGTGCCTGAGCCAGGAATAGAATTCATGATGTCCCAGTTTCTAGTCCAATGCCTCAACCATCATACAAATTGCCTTTTGCAAGCTACCATACCTTTGTGTAGTTTGTAATATGGTTAGACAAGCCTTCTATCTGTTGAATGAATGGGTCATTCCATGCTGTTGTCCAGAACTATTCCATATGTGTGAACTTCTACCTTAGTAATCAAGTGCCATCTTTGTACATAAATAGATAGACCTTGTTAAACATCGGTAGGAGATTCTAGGGTTTGTAATTTGTTCAGCCATGAAAATTTATGACTTAAAAATAATAATACGATTTCAGATTAATTCTAGCTAAATGCTATATGTAAAATGGGAATTCTAATTAAACATATTGTGTCATTATGACAATTCACACATATAAGTCATAATTTCAAATATTGATATGTCAAGCATAGTTTGAGAATAATTTGAAGCAGATTTCTGAATTGCCAATGAATTTAAAGTCATTTTAAATGAACTTATAATTCTCCTTTATGAAGATGTCATGTCTTTTCACAGAACCCTTTTCAAACTGATAGTTGAGATTAGCTCTTTATTCCTAATGTGTGAGGAAAAGCAGTTTTATCGTCTTAGTCACAATTGTTTCATTCATATATTATGGAATATCCTTCCCCAATTTTGACAAACACTGCACATACAAATAGACTCAGCTCTTACAATCTTTTTGCTGATGTGACTGGGGAAAATATTAAATCCAATACTTGGGGAGGATATTAAATTGGAGAAGAATGTCCCTGATGGAAAAATGCAACTTTCATATCATTTTAAGGAGATAATAGTTATCTCCTCAAGGCAATCATACAAAAGATCTCTACTACTTCCAAATTCTCAGTGACAAGAATGAGCAATGAATGACAGCAACTAGTAACAATGAATAACAAGTAGTAGACAATCATCAATGAATTAGCTTCAGAAAAAAATGAAAATTAAGCCAAATTTGTGTTTAGATTTTTCATTCTTGAAATGAATATACAACACATGACCACGTATGCTGCCCCACACAAATTAGGCTGCAGTAATCTTTCAAAAATGTTTTTTGAAAATGTAATTTTTCAATCATTATACATTAAAACACAAGCAAAGTTTTCACAAGATGGTATTAATTCAATACAAACAATGATCTCCCCAGGCCTACTAATAAATTGAACAATCTTACCTTGATGGATTATAAAATCAGAATGTAAAAAAGGGCTGTCTCCACAGCTTGATTATTGATTATGTGTCATCAAGCTGTGGTTGACTCATATAGAAGCATATAGACACATCATTTTTTCCATGATGATTAATTCCTAGTCTTTCTTCAAGTCTTCCTGCTCCTGGTCATCTTCTTCTCTACCTTCCACTTTTCCCAGCATTAAAGCCTTCTCTAGGGACTCGGGTCTTTGCATAATGTACTTTATCTGAAGTAGAATAATTTGAGCCTAATCATTTGTGCCTTAAGTTGATTTGTTTGGTGATCCATTGATTTATTTTCTTGGTTCTCCACAGTATTTAATGAATCTTCTTCAACCCTCCATAGCTAACACCACTCTTTACTGATGCAGTTGATAAGCTTTCCAAAAACATCAGGCTTTTTAAATACATCTTCGAGCTGATTGAAATAAATTCAGACATCAAATTCTGACAAAAAGAGCTTGATGGCAGCAAAAAGGAGTTTCATTTGTACTGATGGCAACAAAGGTTATTCATGATATTTAGGAACCTCAGAATAACCCAAATAAAAAATCTATATCTACAAATATATTAATTAATTGCTTATGTTTTAGATAAATTTCATTTATTATTTAGCTACCCATCTTACATATATGACTTTAAGCAGCTTGC